GATTTACGCAAACAGACAAAAGTCAGATTAACGTGACGACGAGGCACTCATGTGTGACTCGGCGTGTATTTAAAATTTACACACATCTGGTGCGCGTGCCATGTCAGAAACAGTCAGCAGATTTTCACTTTTCATCATTATCGTCTTTAGACATATGAAGAAAGTTTTGTTTTACGTCTGAACTTTGGTGGAAAAATTGTTGCTCTAAAGCTGCCATAATCAGACGTTGTGGGGGTGTGGGTCATAAAATAAACAAAAAGTAAGAAGATCGACGGCAAAGATAAATAGAGTTTAGATTTAAAAGATTTCTCGATCACCATGTGCAATGGCATAATTAATTCTAATCATTGTAACATTTTTAAATATTAAAAAATAATATAAATTCGTGTTTGTAAAATTAATGGTGTGTAGAGAGTGTATAGTAACACCAACCCCGTCAATATTTAACATTTTAATTAATAACGGTTTTTTCGAGGTCGAGCTTTATGGCTAAAGAGGTATATATCATTTGGTACGAGAAAAACGTCTGCCTGTCTGCCATTGCTGACGTTAACTCCTTCTGTAGTGGGATTCTCTAATATTTTTGGAGTTACTGAAAAATATTGCTAAAATTAAAGTTGGCAGCAATGTTGCTATCGGTAGGACTTAACGAGTACTTTATTTTAGTCATCAATTTGCCGAAATTATAAGCATTTTAATATATTATATTAACCGATTTTCAGTTCGGTTGCTCAATAAATGAGTTAGAAAATTCCACTAATGATACCTCCACCAGATAATTTACGTATGTTTATTTTAACTTCGAACAACGCAAAATTTCCACCAACATCTAGTGTGAATATGAGACTTATCGGCCAACTCTTCTGATACCTTTCCAATAATTTTCGTTAACAATCTGAAATCCCAATATAGACTTATTCTTTTTTGTACCTTCCTCACAAAAGAAAAAGATTTTCCAAAAAAATATATATCCCAATATATTACATTAAAGTTAGGAAGTAGTCAATATGTCTAAATCTGCACGTCGTAATATTTGTATGAGACATAGAATAATCATAAAGCAAGTCAGATCAGCAAGTTCAGACTGATACGTTCTAACTTGATTAAGTACGTTTTAGCACGAATTACCGAAATTCCGACTAGCGGTAGAATCTTGAAATTTACCCTGGCTGTGGCTGTTGATGTGCGATAAGGCGGAGTTTTGTCATCTCGTCAAAAAGGTACTAAAGTACAAAAAGGCATTTTTAAAATTTTGAATGTTTTCAATATAGCGTTGTTTTCAGATATAGCGTTGCTTTTGGCAAACTTATCGAATTTCAGAATATCAGCTCTTGTGTAGCTAGTATTCTGAAATTCGATAATTGGCTTTGTCTGAACCATTTTTTTGCAAAATCCGATTTCGTAAATTTTTATTTCCTATATTAACTTTGTCTTTTCTCAAAATACTTATGTATACGGGTGAAAAGAAAAAATTACAACCAACTTCAGACTGCTGTCATTTCTAATCCACTCGTCCGACAGCTGTTAAAATTATTCCAGCGACAGCTCATTATATTGCTTGCAAGCGTACAAAAGCATTTTGGTGAGAATTTTCCAGAAAAAAAGTTATTCGTCGTGGAATTTAAGCGTGATAGTGTGATTTCTTTATATTTGGCTGGAAAATCACAAGTGGCTATCGTAAGAGCACTCCAGCATTTAAATGTGAATAAATCGTTTGTGTCTCGTACCATCGCTAGTTACCGTTATATTGGTAGCGTAGCCCGACGTCAAGGAAGTGGACGGAAGAAAACAATAACATCAGCAGAAATGGTTCAAAAAGTAAAAAACGCGACTTGATCGAAACCCGCGTCGCAGTGGCCGAAAAATGGCTCGTGTGCTGAACATATCGCAATATTCCATTCGGCAAATATTGAAAATTGAGCTCGAGGTAAAGTCATTGAAATTTCAAAAAGTGCAAGAACTTACACCTCAACAGGAAGAAAATAGACTCAAAAGAGCTAAAGATTGGTTCCCTTGGCCGAAAGTGGTGAACTGTCGAATTTGGTTTTCTCCGATGAGAAAACATTCGTTGTCCAGCAGTTTGTAAAAAAACAAAATGATCGTGTTTACTTGCCAAGAGGTCAGCTGAAAACGGGCACCGTCGGTTGGCCACCAGAACTCAAGCGCCGACCATGGTGATGGTGAGGGCCGCCATAACAGCCGATGATCACTCTACGCTCGTATTAATCGACCATGGCATCAGAATAAATGTCGAATATAATCGCGAAAATATTCTAGAAAATATTCTGGAATATTTTGGCCGCAGACCTTGGACATTCTAACAGGACTCAGCACTATCGCACTCAGCACGCGCCACCCAAGATTTTTTACAAAATGAGGTTCCTCGATTCATTTCCAGCGCACAAGGGCCACCAAAATCTCTGAATACCAATCCGTTGGACTATTGTGTCTGCAGTATTTTGCAAAGCTAGGTTGGCAATAACAAATACCAAAGGCTCGATCACCTCAAGCAAGCGCTTCACCGAGAATGGGCCAATATTCCGCAGAGCAACATTCGGGCAGCGTGTGACGGTTTCATTGGCCGTTTAAGGCCACAATTCGTGTCAAAAATGACAAATGTAAACCTATTCTAAAATTTGATGCTATTTCCGACATTTCTTGCTTTCATTCAAAAAATTTTAAAAATGTAAGAAATATGGCTATAACTTTGTTGCAGTTTTTTTATCTCACCTTGTACAGACGATCGACTCCAAATGTCTTAAAACGGTTTTGATTCAAAGAGATGTAGGGTCCATAACCGTTATTTCGATGAAGCACGTTTTGGTCGTATCAAATGATATATACCCTCTGCAGCCTCTGAGGGTAAAAAAACAGATGGGAAAACGATTCTTCAATTTTCGTTCGCTCACAAGTAATATCATTTACCTCATGCCCAATTAACATTCGATCTTGAATTCTATCCCTGACTATAAATATTTAAGTTCCTTGCAATAATCATAGGAATCCAACATGTTTGCTAAGTAATCGATATTTTAATTTAGTTTTCTGTTTGAGGACATAATCGTTTGCATTGATTGTTCTTACGCATAATTAAAACCAGTAAAGAAAGTCCTAAAGTCGGGCGGGGCCGATTTTATGATACCCTACACCACTTTGCTAATTTAGTTGAGCTCCACTTAATAATTAAAAGTTTTTATGGGAGAATTCAATCATACACGCTATGATTATAATTATAATTTAAAATTCAAAGGACTTAATATGCCAAAGCATTTGTATCTTTTAAATTCGGACTTGTATTGCCCATTTGGTGCGAAATTAATTTGAAATCGGATAAAAATATATATGGAAACTATATCCAAATCTGAACCGATCTTGATAAAATTTGGCAAAGATATTTCTGAGCTGTATTTGATATTTCCCTGAATATCGTTGTTACGGAGTGCGTATTACGGCTGTGGGTAACAAATACAACAAATCGGATGAACAATATATATGGGAGCTATAACTATATCTGAACCGATCTTCACCAAATTTGGCACACTACCTTCTAGACTTAATTCGGTCGTATGTGCCAAATTCCATCCCATTTGGACAAATATTAGACGTTTGGTGCACAATAAATGGTAAATCGGACGAAGTTATATATGGGAGCTATATCCAAATCTGAACCGATCTCGATAAAATTTAGCAAAGGTATTTCTGAGCTGCATTTGATATATTTCCCCAAATATTGTTGTTACAGAGTGCATATTACGGCTGCGGAGGACAAAAATAACAAATCGGATGAACAATATATATGGGAGCTATAGCTATATCTGAACCGATTTCGATAAAATTTGGCATACTTATTTTCAGGCCTAATTTGGTTGTATGTGCAAAATTCCATACTATTCGGGCTGATAATACACGTTTGGTGCACAATAAAAGGCAAATCGGACGAAGATATATATGGGAGCTATATCTAAATTTTGACCGATTATTTCCAATTTCAATAGGGTTCGTCCTTGGGCCAAACAAATGATTTGTGCAAAATTTCATCTGGATAGGGCAATAAATGCGAACTGTACTTTGTTTACAAAAATACATGGACAGACGGACAGACGGACGGACGGACGGACATGCATAAATCGACTCAGAATGTGATTCTATGCAGATCATCAAAAGGAACTGTGGGTCTATCTCGTTTCCTTTTGCCTGTTACAAACAAATGCACAAAGACATAATACCCTGACCACCTAGTGGTGTAGGGTATAATGAACATTTTCAATTATTGCCATACAAATTGTAATACCTACTTAAGAATTTACGTCACGCTGGAGAATGGTTGTTGCAAGGACGTCACGACTCACATACACACAACCACACTCGATTGTCGTTTATCCGCCATGAATGAAAATGTATGTATGTGTGCGGGTGTGTGTATGTATGTATGTAAATTGGTATGCATTTTTATAAGCAGTTTCCGCATAATTTGCATGCGAGCTTTTGTGATGATGCCCTGCTTGTAAGCCAAGAGAATATTCATAAGTGTTCGGTTCATGGAAATTGAATCCCGTCGTTGTCGTCATCGTCGTCGATTATTTGCCAAGAACGGCAAGGAATGTTCAGTGTTGCCATTGACAATCGTTGGGTGATTTTCAAGAGTGGTATGAACAGCGAGCGACAAGAGTAATATTAATGAGATTATTCACAGCAGGCATTTATGAGAGCATATTAAACACTCTGCTCTATGGCTGGTGGAGTGTTGAAAACTGCATTCTCTGCTGTTTCATCGCAGGGATATAAAGGATATAAACATGTATGTAAAATTGCGTGCATGAGACATGAATGGCGTGTTTGCAACTTAAGGTTTATTTTACAGGCGTCGTTCATGTCAGTTACAATTATGTGGTAAACGCACTTACTTAAAGATTTTGATTTTAAATTTGAAGGTTTTATATGAATTTTTTATACAAAAATATAAATATGTATAAACGTGTGTGTTTTTTATATTTCCTTACCAGCACCATCTAATAAAATGTTATCCGGTTTAACATCTCTGAAAAAAAAAGAAAATCGAATAGAAAATTTAATTTAAAAATTCAGGTGAATTCATTTAAATCTATGATCACTACAAATATTGTAAGTATGTTTTTTATACCCTCCACCATACATAGTATGGAGGGTATATTAAGTTCGTCATTCCGTTTGTAACTCATCGAAATAATAATTTTAGACCTAACAAAGTATATATATATTCTTGATCAGCGTAAAATTCTAAAGACGTCTGTCCGTATGTTGTAAACACGCTAGAGTCAAAACGAATTAAGATAGGAGGTTAAAATTTTGCACAGATCAGTCTTCTGTCTGCTGGCAGGTCAAGTTCGAAGATGGACTATATCGGTCCACGATATCGTATAGTCACCATGTAACGGTACCTCTGATATTCGGTATTTTGATGATTTTAGGCACATTTTTCAATGATTTGTCTGAGATTCTAAGAAAGAGTTTTTTTTGTGAGTACTTTAACCCCTGGAATAGAATTGCCTATGAAGGTTCACGTCTTCGTATAGCCCCCATATAACAATGTCTCCCGATATTCGGGTTTTTGATGATTTTAGCGACATTATTTACCGGAATTGTTTCTAATTTGGTATTTGAAGTTCGTAATGGATACTACAGCCTATGATAGAAAATTGTCTATGTAGGTCCACGTCTTCGTATAGCGCCATATAATGATACCTCTCTATATTCGGTTTTTGATGTTTTAAGGGACAATATTCAACGGAATTGTTTCGCAATTTCGTATGTGAAGCTTGTAGGGTATTAAAACCTATGGCGGAGAATTGTCTATATAGGTCCACGTCTACAGTTAGGCCACATATAACGGCACCATATATAAGGTCCACGAAATTGTATATTTCCCATATAACGGTACCTTTCGATATTCGCTATTTTGTTAAATTTAGCCACATTTTTTTATGGAATTGTCTGAAAATCCACACAAGGAGTTCCTTCAGAGTACTTTATCCTCTGGAAGAGAATTATCTATATAGGTCCACGATATCGTATAACCTCCATACTGTATCCCCCGATATTCGTTATTTAGATGATTTTATCGACATTTTATACCAGTTCGTAATGGGTACTACAGCCTATGACAAAAAATTGGGTATGCTTGTCCATATCTTCGTATAGCCTCCATATAAATGTGTTCATTTGAGCGGTATTTTTCAATGAGAATTTCTTGGAAGTTTTTTAAGTTCCTTCAAATTGGTGGAGGGTATTAAAAGTTCTTAAACCTATAGCTATATCTAAATCAATTTTATAGACGTTTTTATCGGCTAATTCTTTGTACGTGTGTTTTTGTAGTATGCAAAAGTAAAGGAGACAGACCTAAAATTCCTGAAATTTTGTAAAAACAATAAAAATATTCAATACGGACTTTTTATACCCTACACCACATAGTGGTAAGGGTATTAAATCTTTGTGCATTTGTTTGTAACATGGAGAAGGAGGATCTCCATAGAATCACTTTCTGAGTTGATTTATGCATGTCAGTCCGTCCGTCTGTCAATGTATTCTTGTGAACAAAGTGCAGGTCGCATTTATTATCCGATTGAGATGAAATTTTGCACAAATCATTTGTTTGGCCCAAGGACGAACCCTATTGAAATTGGAGGTAACCGGTAAAAATTTAGATATAGCTCCCATATATATCTTCGTCTGATTTGCTTTTTATTGTGCACCAAACGTGTAATATCAGCCCGAATAGTATGGAATTTTACACATACAACCAAATTAGGCCTGAAAATAAGTGTGCCAAATTTGATCGAAATCGGATCAGATATAGCTATAGCTCCCATATGTATTTTTTTCATCTGATTTGTTATGTTTGTCCTCCGCAGCCGTAATATGCACTCTGTAACAACAATATTTGGACAAATATATCAAATGCAGCTCAGAAATACCTTTGCTAAATTTCATGGAGATCGGTTCAGATTTGGATATAGCTCCCATATATAACATCGTCCGATTTATCTTTTATTGTGCACCAAACGTCTAATAGAATGGAATTTTTCACATACGACCGAATTGAGTTTAGAAGGTAGTATACCAAATTTGGTGAAGATCGGTTCAGAAATAGCTATAGCTTCCATATATATTGTTCATCCGATTTGTTGTATTTGTTACCCACAGCCCTAATAAGCACTCCGTAACAACGATATTCGGGGAATATATCAAATACAGCTCAGAAATATTTTTGCCAAATTTTATTGAGATCGGTTCAGATTTGGATATAGCTCCCATATATATCTTTATTTGATTTCAAATTAATTTTTCACCAAATGGGCAATACAAGTCTGAATTTAAAAGATACAAATGCTTCGGCATATTTAGTCCTTTGAACTTTAAATTATAATCATAGCGTGTATGATTGAATTCCCCCATAAAAACTTTTAATTGTTATGTGGAGCTCTACTAAATTAGCAAAGTGGTGTAGGGTATCATAAAGTCGGCCCCGCCCGACTTTAGAACTTTCTTTACTGGTTTACTTTTCCAACTGGTTTCAAGCGAAATGTAAGAATCATATTTGAATACTTGTGCGAATTTTGGAAAAAATCAAGAATTTCAAATTAGAAGAGTGTTGATTATCTATACAGGGTGAGATTAAAAAAGTACAACAAAGTCAAACGCCATAATTTTTATATATATTTTTTTAATTTTATTGAATGTAGGTGAAAAATGTCGAAAATAGCATCAAATTTTAGAATAAGTGAGGATTTGTTCGAATTTGTCACATATGGCAAGAATTATGGCTTTCGAACGGCCAATGAAACCGTCACACGCTGCCCGAATGTTGCTCTGTGGTATTTCGGCCTATTTCCGGCGAAGCGCTTGCTTGAGGTGATCGACACTTTGGTATTTTTTAATAATATTGAAATCTTGATGGAAGCAGAGTTGATAAAAGTTTTTGTTGCTGGGAATGTGTACTAAGTGTGACAACTGAACTCAATGGTTTTATATTTGGTTTTGGTTGAACGGACATTGGGGTCACTACTGGTGGATAGGATTGTGAAAGAAAATGTTTGGAAAAGGGTTCAACAAGCGTACGCAAGCTACTAAATAGTACTAAATTTGGTATTTCGTGAACGGATACTGATTGATATTTAAAATTTGGCATTAGGATCACTGTTACTGTTAAGAGTTCGGTATTTGGGAAGAAAAAGAGCTGAAAACTTCAAATTTGGAGTAAGAGTCTTCGATGTAGGATGGACAAACGAACAATACGTGCGCCAAAAGTACTTATAAACACTAAATTTGGTACCATTTAAATTTAGGTGAACGAATAGAGGTAAAACCTTTGAAAATTGGTATGTGAAAATTGGGATGTAGGGTTAATGTGAGGAGGTAGTTTGTAAATATGTATTGAATCACTGTGACAGTGTAGCTTTTAGAAAAGTACTTAATGGTATTAAGCTTGCTTTTAGTGTAGGAATATAGCTGAAGTTGTGATTTTTGCTATTTATATAGATAAAGCACGAAAGGTGCTAAAAACGATGGGAGCTGAAAATATAAATTTTGGTATTTGGATCAAGCCGTTTTTATACCCTACACCACATAGTGGTAAGGGTATTATGTCTTTGTGCATTTGTTTGTAACATGGAGAAGCAAGCGAGATAGACCCATAGATATATATATTTTGAGTCGATTTACGCATCTCAGTCCATCCATGTATTCTTGTTAACAAAATGCAGGTTGCATTTATTATCCGATTGAGATAAAATTTTGCAAACGATTATTGTTTGGCCCAAGGACGAACTCCATTAAAATTGGTGATATTCGGATCAGATTTTGGTGTTAATCGGATCAGTCCTAATGATCTGAATATTGATACATCCCACCTAATTAAGTCTAGCAGCAAGCAAATCAAATTCGGTTCAGATATAGCAGTAGTTCTCATCTATATATATAAATGTAAGTTGTGTTAGTTACTACGCTTATAACTTAAGAACCGCTGGATTAATTTTAACGATTCACACAAATTCGGAGTTGTCTACTCTCCGAAAAGGATAATATCCAAAAAATCGCGTAAAAATGTGATATATTAACATTTTCATTTTGAATTTTCAAATGTACAATAGTAATGTTTTATTTTGCATGATTTTTTTCCATTTTGACTTACTTTTTTCTAATGTACATTTGTAGTGTTTTTTTATATTTTATTTTTGAATTCGAATATTTATACCAATTTATTTAATTGACTTGATTTCTTGAGAACTGAAATTGATGGCGGGTTACATGGAAGTGTAGTAGCGAATTATGTGGTGGCGAAACGGAATAGATGATATCGAAATAATTTAACGCGGTCACACCAAAGTTAAAAGATAATTACTTTTTCTAAATCACTGAAAAATCATGAAAAAGAGATCTCATTGCAAAAATAAAAAAAAAAACATTTTCAATGGAATCGAATTTTAAAGTAATAGTACATTCTATTGACAAACTTTGTAAGGAAGGATCTTAAAACATTTGCTGTAAAAAATCAGCGAAAAAGTTGAAGACTTTTTCAATTTGTTATTCTTTTTTTTGTCAATTTTTTTTTGTGAACAAAATAAAGAATAATTTTTCACTAAAAAAATTGAATAAGTGCGAAATAGGATGTTAACTGACATCTACCTTTCAACTCCTGGGCCTACATCGTGGGTTAGCTGGAAGATGCGAACACGTTTAAACAAACAAAAATGACCGAAAAAGCTTAATGGGGCTCATTTCAAAGCGTGACAATGATCCGTCCAATGAGAGCTCAAAATGCAAAATTCTTTGGGAGAATAATAAGTAATATACCAATATTGAAATAAAAGGTGCAAAATAGTAGAGCGAATGGGACTTTTAGTAAGAAAAGGTTTTATATCCTTCCAGAAATTCTTCCCAAACATTCAAAATACATAAAATCACTTTTGCAGGTCTTTATATCGATCATAACTCATGGATAAGGGAACAACCCGATTTCATATTTATATAACCATCTATGATTTAAGTTATTTTTGGGGTCTTGGCCGGTCACTTTTTTCATTTTTTGGCCCTTATTTGACATTTTTGTTTCTAAGGGGGTAGATAACCTCTTCGCATAAAATTTGAAATTTTCAGAGTAGGGCCCATATTGGTATTGACCACATTCATCAATTGATTTGGCTAAAAAATTTTATTTATGCCACCCTGGGGTAGGGAACCATCATACAGATAATTGCCACATAGGAATTTATTTAAGTAAAGTCCCCACATTGGAGTATCCCCAAGTCCACTTTCACATCTAATGTGTGGTCAGAAAAGAAAATTTTGTATTCTATTGAATTTTTAACCCCCAAGAGAATATTGGTTGGGAACGTAGATTTGGGATGTGCATCCATATGAAATAAATTGTGGAAACATGAACAAATTACAAATATAAGAAAGTAGCACGGGACCGAATATTTGTTTAATCATTATTGAATTATCCTATGATGAAAATATGGACTTTAAGGGGTCTCCAACTTACAATTTAAATGGCAAATAAAATTAATTCCCATCTTATCATTCTGCCCTCAATTATGAGGTGGATAAAACTATTTTTACTTATTTAAATCACGCGAAATGCTATGACATGCTATATTGTTCTGCTATATTTTTGATTTGGCCTCTATTTGTCATCTTGGATTATAAGGGGTAGAAGAAAGTTTTCAATGTAGGTCGATGTTTCGGAGTAGTGCCCATATAAAGAAGGTACCTCCTAATTTAACCACATTTCAAAGAATTTGGCTAATAATGCGTATTAGGGGGGTGAAAATCTTACACTAAAATTTCAACATATCTACAAATTTTAGAATTTTTATCCATGTTATAATACCCTCTCAAGTCCACCTTTTGGCGGACAAACAGACTGACATGGTTAGGGGGACTTATGAGGACTCTAATGCACAATCTAAGTTGCTAATGGGTTTAAAAAAGTAATTAACTTTGGCTATTCTTAAATCATTCAGCCCTCAATTATGTAGTATACAAAATACAGCAAATTCCAAATTACTGCTCATTTGACTGGAAGATTTTGCTAAGATTTTTACCATATTAAAAATTAATTTGATCCCTTATATGGCGATAAGATTGATATATACTTTTTAATAGATTTGTATAGCACATCCACACAGTTGAAGCCCACGGTTTAAATATTGAAGCCCACTGGTTAAAAATGGGTACAGGTATTTTAAAACACTTTAAATCGACCTGTACGTGAACACTTATATCAGTCATATCTGTGAATAATTATGCTTGGGAATATATGCATAGTAGACAAAAACTACGGGCCGGCAACGCGGACCGGGCCAGCTAGTATATATATATTTCATCCGATTTGGGGTTTAAAGTCCCTCACATTCGTAATATGCACTCCAGAAAAACGATCGTTCGTACCAGATACTAAATACTGCTCTGAAATAAGTGTATCAAATTTTGTAAAGATCGGTTCAGATTTGGATATAGCTCCCATATATATCTTTAACCGATTTCGGGTTAATTGCGCACCAAATTGCCAGTATCAGTCCAAAAGTCCTGAATTTTGGTACATCCAACCAAATTCAGTCTAGAAGCAAATACATCGACTTCGGAGAAAATCGGTTCATATATAGCTATTGCTCCCATAGATATGTTTCATCCGATTTTGTGTTTAAGTCCCTAATAAAATGCATTCGACAACAATGATATTTGGTACCAGATATCTTATAGAGTTCAGAAATACCTCTGCTAAATGTTATCAAGATCGGTTCGGATTTGGATATAGGTCCTATATATCTTCAACCGATTTGGGATTAGTTGTGTACCAAATGGCCAATATATGTCGAAAGTCCTGAATTTTGGTACATCCAACCGAATTCAGTCTAGAAGCAAGTACATCAAATTTGATGTTTAAGTCCCTCTCATATATACCCTTAATCTGATTTCAAGTTTAGTGTGAAAATAATGGAGAATATCAGCCCAAATGCAGTGAATTTCGGGACGTACGTTTTCATTTTGTGCAACTCGGCTCCGATATATATATTCTTAATATAATCCTTCTCCAAGTAATATCATGCACTCTATAGCAAACTATAACTGCCATAAAGCAAAATGTTGATAGATGGTATGATCTACTTCAAATACATTTTTATGTTACGGGAGCTATATTATATATACATAGTTATGTAGGGTATCATATAGTCGGCCCCGCCCGACTTTTGACTTTTCCTTACTGGTTAATGAAGTATCCGTCAAATATAAAACTTCCAATTAGAACCTCTGGATCATCGGTTAAAATCTATATAAAATAAAATCTGAAGTTATTAAAGCTGAGCTTTACTCACATCTCATCTCAAGTGGAATGGTAGGCGAATATATTATCTGAAATGCAGAAACTGGTTCTTAATGAAACGCAAATACAACCATTTTTCTGCTAAAACTACTGCATTGAAACATAATAACCTTGGCCACAGCATGCCGCAGGGCATAAATCCTTATGTTCCCCCAAACACATGTTATCCGTATTTCACATGTTTTTTCCCTCTGTACCTAAAAACTCTTTTTTTTTGTAGAAATTACATTTCACATGTTTTCATTGACGCTTAGGGCTAATTTATCATCGTTGTTTACAAATTGCTCTGCTGTAGTCGATGTAAAAGTTTTCCACATGAATGCACATTAACTCACCTGTGAACGACACGTTGCAGTTGCAAATAGTCTAAAGCACTTCCAAGTTCACACACGAATAAGGCAACAGATTCTTCAGAGAACTCCACCTGAAAGCAAGGGAATAAAAGAGGAAAAAAAAAACACATGAATATGAATTCAGCAAATACATGTTCAGTGATACACATACATACGCCTACGCATACATGCACGTTTACGTACACACCAACGTTAGTTGTTTTGGTTTATGAATAATAAAGAGAAACATGGTAAATAAGCCAAATTTATGAGTCCATATGGTAAATAAATACAAAACTAAATAACCAAAAAGAAAGAAAGAAAAAACAACGAAACAAAAGCTAAATTGTAACATCTGAACCGAAAGTTATCAACAAAATAATAAAATAAGAATGCAAATAAACAAAAGAAATCGTTTCTAATAATAAAGCACCCTGAAAAAGTTTTATATTGTTGTAAATAATTTATGACTGGGAAAATTTATTGCGATGAACAGTACGTAAATTTAAGCGAGGTTACTTCTGATTACATTCTTGAACTCCTTGGTATTGTTTTGACACCTCCAGAGAAACTGTAAATTTTTGTGGAATATCGCCGGGGGTAAATATGAGGTATTTTACTGATGTTTGGACCTTTATTAAATCCATACCCAACCTTGAATATACAATTTGAAAATGAACACGTTAGAAAGAATCAATCGGTTTGTCAGTAGACCATTATGACCACTTAAACCTCACAAAAATTTAGGAGCTGTATGAATCGGAAAAAAGGTAATGTAAACTAAGTAGCTTCTGCAATAGCAATAAGTGGGAAATATTTCTCAGGAAATAAAAAATCAACACAACATTTATTTTCATTACCAAGTAATTAGTAATACCGGCACTAAATGAGCTCGTTATACTACTAAACCAAGATGCATCGTTGGCAACCGGAGAAAAGAAAACAACATTTGATTATTTATTAATGAGGCAGGAGTCGAAATAACTGTTAATTTTAAATGTGCAGTATGTGAAAGGAAGGTTATGGTAACATTAATTTTAAATGTAAAATAATTCTTTTCTGCTTTTTCGACTTTTAAGGAACAAAAACAGCCAATTTCTTCAGGCGAATTTCCGTCGTCGATTTGTAGGTTGATTTGTTAAAAGTTTCCAAGTTAGCGAGTTTATGCTGGGTATATTTATACCCTCAGCCATATGTATGGCTATAGAGGGTATATATTATTTGATAGGTCAAAACGTGCCTAGTCGAAATAACGGTTATAGACCCTGCGTCTCGTTAGACCAAATCCGTTACAGGACATTTGAAGTCGATCTAGGGATGTCCGTCCGTCTGTCTGTCTGTCTGTCTGGCTGGTGCACACGATAATTCTCGAAGGGAGTATCCGATTTGATCCAAACTTAGTACATCGTAATATTATTGTCAAATTTAGATTGAGTTCGGAGATGGGCAGTATCGGTCCGATTGTCTTTAAATTACACACATCACAATATTTTTATTAACCAAGGCCAGGTGTGAAGATGGAATATATTGGTTCACTAGTTCTGGTACCTCCCCCACAAAGGGTAAAATTTTGAGTATTCATGAAGCTCATAAAACACGAAATTAACATCTGTGTCGATTGGTACATCTCAATATTTCCATAAACTCTATATCTTTTATAAATATGGTAAAGATGGGACCATTTTTTCTAGTACCTCCCCCACAAAGGGTCAACATCCGATATCATTCACACTTGGTACATCTCAATATTTCAGTCAACACAAGATCTGTTATAAAGATGGTAGAGAACGGAATATTCTTCTGGTATCTCTTCCACATAGGGTTCAAGATTTTGAGAAACAAAACGCTGAAAGAAAGCGAGATAAGCATCCAACTCTCTTCAAATTTCACACATCCAAACATTTTTGCTAATGCAGGATCTGTTGTGAAGACAATATATATCTGCCAACCACTTCTGGTATCTCACCCATCAAGGGTCACAATTTCCAATACTTATATCTGTCATTATTATAAAATTGGATATAAATATTCGATTTCCTTCAAATTGCCGATACCAATACTTTTGTCTGTATTAGATGAAGTATGAAAATGGAATACTTCGGTCCGCTATATCTAATTTTATATTACACATTTCCCAAAAATGATCACATATCTCATATAAAGTGAATCAAGTGGTCCATATAGTCCAAATCTGGCCAGCTGCTTCGAAACCTACCCCAAAAGTTTGAATAATTATAACTCAAGGCTGGGGGTAAACATCTGTCGGCAAAACCGACTGATACGGTTCTACTAGTTTTATATATCTATAAAAGAGGAAAACTTTTGTACGGTTGATTGTTTGTAATTTACAGAAACAAAAACTGCTAAACAGATTTTCCGAAAGTTTTCAAACATACTAAAACATGACTTAAGGCTAGGCTATATAAACTTTTGAAATTCCATTTGGAACTGGAGATATAGCCTCAGAATTCAAAAACTTTATTTTTTGAATGCACATGTCTATAGATACAGTCTTCAAACGTGGAATGTGTAATGGAATTCGGTACAAAAATAAATTTGCCAACTTATATTGAATTCGGTTCAGATTTGGATATAGCTCCCACACACATTTTTGAGCGACTTCTCATATTTGGTGCACCAAATACGATATGTATCCCGATTCGAACGTTGCTCTGTGCTAAGTGTTTATGAACCTACATGGTCCAAAGAAACATGGGGACTAAAATCCACGTATTCAGCGAACTCTGGAATCTTGAATATGTGACACTATTAATGCGGAGTGATCAAAAAATTTAATATTTATCAAAATGTATCAAATGCATTGTAGGATATACATCAGATTTTTTTATAAAACTCACGAAAGCTAGAGACTGGGGTACAAAAAGTTTTTAGAATAACGTGTTGAAAAACTACTAAAATTACTTATATGACTTAATATTGCAACATTGATCTGGAGCGATCAAGAGACCCAAAGCTTGATTTTTTGTGACTTTATCTGTAACGGTCTTGAGGTTTTCGGAAATACTTTTAATATATTTTCTGCAAGATGTTCTTTAATTCGAACATAATTTGGGTACTACAGAACACGCGACGATTGAAATCATGATTTCGTTTAATATTTGGCCTCTAACAATGCAACCGAAAAATTTTAATGAAGGTGTGTAGACTTCATTTTTATTACCTTCATCATAGAATGGGTGGATATTAAGCTTGTCATTGCGTTTATAACACCTCGAAATATACATTTTAGACCCCACAAAGTGTTTGTATTCTTGACCATTCTTGATATTTTATGTCGAGGAAATTAGTATAGCTTCCGAACGAATGAAGTTTGTTGAATATCTACAGGACTTTTGTATAGAAATTGACCGAAGTAGGTACCCGTATTGGTATAGGCCCCATATAACTGTTCTGCCAGATATAAGGTATTTTGGTTGTTTTATTCATAATTTGATTTTTATACCCTCACCATACATGGTATGGAGGGTATATTAAGTTCGTCATTCCGTTTGTAACTCAAAGAAATAATAATTTTGGACCCAACAATGTATACATATTCTTGAGTAGCGTAAAATCCTAAGAAGATTTAGCCCTGTCCGTCCATCCATCTGTTGTTATCACGCTAGGGTCAAAACGGTAGGAAGTTAAAATTTTGCACAGATCTGTCTTTTCTCTGCAGGCAGGTCAAGTTCGAAGACGGGCTATATCGGTCCACGATATCGTGTAGCCCCCATGTAACGGTACCCTCCGGTATTCGGCATTTAGATGATTTTAGCCACATTTTCAACGGAATTGTCTGAAAATTCACACAAGGAGTTCCTTGTAGTGTTTTATCCTTTGGAAGAGAATTACGTACATAGGTCAATGATATCGTATAGCCCCCATATAACGGTACCCCCCGATATTCGGCATTTTGATGATTTTAGCGTCATTATTCGCCGGAGTAGTTTCAATGTTACAGCCTGTTACAGAGAACTGTCTATGCAGGTCCAGGTCTACGTATAGTTCTGATATAACAGTACCTCCCTATATACGGTATTTTGATGATTTTAGCTACATTATTCACCGTTTTTTCACTTTTCGAATTTGAATATGGTAATGGCTTATAACACACACTGCTTATGCAGGTCCACGTCGTATAGACCCAAATATGCCGGCTATATTCAGTATTTTTAAGATTTTAACAGAATTTTTACGGATTTTATTTTTGAAAATGTCCAAATTCGTTCCAAATGGTGGAAGGTATTCAAAGTTCGGCCCGGTCGAACTTACTGCTTTTTAACTTGTTACTTGTAATACCCTCCTCGAAATATGCATAATAAGCCCTATGAAGTATATATATTCTGGATCAGCGTAAAATTCTAAGATCTAGCGATGTCCGTCTGTCTGTTGTAATCTGTTGTAAGTAATATCTTTCGACCGAATTGAGATAGAAGGCTAAAATTTTGGATACATGTATAGTTTACCAGTGGGCCAGTTAAGTTCGTAAATGGGCTATGTTGGCCCATATAACGGTCGTATAGCCCCCATATAACGGTACCTTCCGATATTCGGTATATTCATGATTTTAGCGACATTATTTATCGGAATTATTTCACACGCTATCTTCGAACAAATTGAGATAGAAGGCTAAAATTTTGCACACATGTATATTAAGTTCCTAAATGGGCCATGTAGGTCCAAGTTATCATATAGCCTCCATATAACGGTACCTCCTGATATTCGGTATTTTGATGATTTTAGCGACATTGTTTACCGGAATCGTTTCAAATTTGGTATTTGAAGTTCGTAATGGATACTACATCCTAAATCAAAAAATGAGTCATGTAGGTCCACGTCTTCATATAGCCCCCATATAACGGTACCCCCCGATATTCGGTATTTTGATGATTTTAGCGACATTGTTTACCGGAATCGTTTCAAATTTGGTATTTGAAGTTCGTAATGGATACTACACCCAAAGTCAAAAAATGAGCCATGTAGGTCCACGTCTTTGTATAGCCCCCATATACCATACCCCAAGATATTTGGTATTTTTATGATTTTAGCGACATTATTTGCAGGGATTGTTTCATGTGAAGTTCGCAATGGATACTTCAGCCCATGCCAGAATATTGTCTGTGCAGGTCCACGTCTTCGTATAGCCCCCATATAACGGTACCCCCCATATTCGGAATTTTGATGATTTTAGCTACATTATAAACAGATTTTTCTTCAAGTTTCGCATTTAAATATTGTAATAATTTATGACAGAAGTTGCCTATGCAGGCCCACGTCGTCGTATAAGCATTCAGCATTTTTAAGATTTTAACAGAATTTTTAACGGGTTTTATTTTTTGGAAATTGCCAAATTTGTACCAAATGGTGGAGGGTATTAAAAGTTCGGCCCGGCCGAACTTACAGCTTTTTTACTTGTTCTTGCCTAGAATTGAAGAAATGAGAGAGGAGGGCATGACAATTAATACAAAATTTTGAATGGTCTCGTGACTTTGGTCAAAGACCAATTTATAAGGGTTAACATGGCTATATGACAGTATTTGAAGAATAAAATTGGATAAAAGAAGCCAGGAAAGTACTGGTTTTAGCTCTGTGAGAATTATTCGAACGGGGTATTATGTTCCTCCGACAACATCCTACCTTAATATTACATTATTTATAACCCACAAAATAAATAATTATAGACCAAACATTTATATTAGGAATGGTCGGCCCACTCTTCTATAGCATTTGTTTTTATGTTTATCAAATAAGCCTTCGTGTGAAGAAAATCGATTACTCATTGAGATGTAACGATCCTCTATTATATGCAACCCTTTCGAGTTGTGTGTACAAACGTGTGTTTGTATGCATATGTGTATATGTGAAAGTCCTTTCAATTCGGCAATTGTGATTAAGAACATATATCAATAACAATTCGATCAAAGACGAATGAAGCTTCATTTGTACTTTTTGTTTTTGACTTACTCTGTTTTGTAGATGATATCTTAAATCACCGCCTGTCAGCAGGTCGCAAACCATAAATAAATCCTCTTCATCTGCAAGGATAATAAAGAGAGAAACATATAAAAAGGATACTATGAAAATAAATACCAGCATATACATATACATATGTACATTCATGTGTGGACACATTTGTATATATTCATTAAATGTATGTGCGTGTACACAATAACAAAAACACAAATATATCACATGCATTTATTTTCTTAAACACACTCCCACCAGGGTAAGTTTTTCTGCTGTGTCCAACCACTTACACGCACACACCCCCACAAGCACACACACACCGACAGACACTCTTCAAGTAAAGAGTCACAACCCAAATAGGATTTCCTCCTTCATCCAATGAAATATGGATGGTTGGAAGTGGTAAACATGCTTTTTGAATCCCTTCAAGGACGACGTTTCCTTTGGTTACAGCACTTCGTTTGTGTAAGCAAAATACGATTGAAGCCCCTCCATTTGTAGCCATGTACGTCGAGTTTTGGAATAACCTGCATATAATTACAAAAAGGAACAAAGGAAGAATGCAAATCCTTGAAAATGTTAAAAAAATCCACTTAAATGTTATTTCAAATGTTATTCTTTTTATACCCTCCACCATACATAGTATGGAGGGTATATTAATTTCGTCATTCCGTTTGTAACTCATCGAAATAATAATTTATATTTTTGATCAGCGTAAAATTCTAAGATTATTTAGTCCTGTCCGTCCGTCCGTCTGTTGTAATCACGCTACAGTGAAAACGAATTAAGATATGAAGCTAAAATTTTGCAAAGATCTGTCTTTTGTCTGCAGGCAGGTCAAGTTCGTTTCGTTCGTATATCCCCCATACAATGGTACCCCGATATTCGGTATTTTGACGATTTTAGCCACAATTTTCAGTGGAATTGTCTGAAAATTCACAAAAGGAGTTCTTCGTAACTACTTTACCCTTGGAAGGGAATTGCTTATATAGGTTCACGATATCGTATAACGTCCATATAACGGCACTTTCCGATATTCGGTATTTTTATGATATTAGCCACATTTTTAATGGAATTGTCTGAAAATCCACACAAGGAGTTCATTGTGAGTACTGTATGTCCTGGAAGAGAATTATCTATATGGGTCCACGATATCGTATGGCTTCCATATAACGGTATTCGATATTCTGTCGATATTCGGTATCTCGATATTCTGTATTTTTATGATTTGAGCTAAGTTTTTCAATGGAATTGTCTTAAAATCCACACAAGTGCTCCCTTCTAAGTACTTTACCCCTTAGAAGAGGATTGTCTAAATTGGTCCACGTTTTAGTATAACGCCCATATAACGGTACACCCAGATATTTGGTATTTTCATGATTCTTGCGACATTATTAAAATATCGAATTATTTCAAATTTAGTCCATAAAGTTCGAAACCGTTACTACAGCCTATGACACAAATTACGTATGCAGGACCATGTCTTCGTATAGCTCCCATATAGCGGTTTTCATTGGAGCGGTATTTTTCGACAGAATTTTTTAGAAATTTTTCAAGTTTCTTCCTTAGCTGCTTTTTTACTTGTTTCTACTTAATTCTCCGCCTCGCTTTGTTGATGTTGCGGATGTTTTCTTAAAGCAGACTTAACAATAAACATAAACACCAATTCATTTTGTGCACCCTCATGGAATGTTGATATGAGTAAAAACGTAAATTCATATACAAATAAAGAGTGCATTTTCTTGGAATTGAACTCTGCAACTTTGCAGTTCACAATACCGACTAAAAAAAGGCTGAACTTGCAGTTTCCAAAGGGACCGATATCGCCTGCAAAGTTTGCAAAACTGAATGCACACAAGGCAAACTATGTTTACTACAAACTATATAACTTTTAAGAGCCCTAAAATGGTAAGAGATATAATTTTGACTGAAATTGAAACGAAATGGACAGGGGTAGAATCTTTTAATTTGTCTTAACGTCCAATGAGATATGTGTGTTCATATCACATAGCTTACAGAACGGTTTAAACTGCAATCTTAACACGGGACTTTTAGCTTAGGGTTTGTTATACCCATCTTATATCTATTTCTGCTGTCAGTTTTAACAAATTCTAAATCTGAAACTATTTTCACCAATTTTAATCACCACAAAAAAAAAAAAAAAAAAACACAAAAAGAAATTAATTAAAAACCTGAAAAAATATATAAGTTCGGGCCGATCTATTAATACCCTCCACCATTTGGAACGATCTTGGCAATTTTCAAAAAAAAGGAAACAAATTCTGTTAAAATCTTAAAAATATCGAATGTAGCCATTATATTAAGGTCTATACGACGACGTGGACCTGCATAGGCAACTTTTGTCAAAAGTCATTACAATATTCAAATGCGAAACTTGAAAAAAAAAATCGGCGAACAATGTAGCTAAAATCATCAAAATACCGAATATAGGGAGGTACCATTATATTGGGGCTATACAAAGACGTGGGCCTGCACAGACAATTTTTTGTCATAGGCTGTAGTATTCATTACGAACTTCAAATACCAAATTTAAAACAATCCTATATGAAGACATGGACCTGCACAGACAATATTCTGTTTTAGGCTGTACTACGAACTTTAAATACCAAATTTGAAACAATTCTGGTGAATAATGTCGCTATAATCATCAAAATACCGAATATCGGGAGGTACCTTATATAGGGGCTATGCCAAAACGTGGACCTACATTTATTTTCAATACCAAAAGTCCTGGAAACATAATACACATTTCATTCGGAAGCTTGTGATTTCCGCAGACGGACAGGCGGATGGATATTGCTAAATCGACATTGAATTTTATGCTCAAGAATATATATATATTTTGTGGGATCTAAATGTATTTCGAGGTGTTACAAACGGAATGACTAACTTAATATACACTTCATACTATGGTAAATGGTATAAAAAAGGAAAAACGCTTTAAGCTCGGCCGGGCCGAACTTTTTTCTGCCACAGAAGGTAGAACACTCGTTACCGAATATTAAGCTATGCTGTTAGAAAATATGATCTAAATCGTCAAAACACCGAATATCTGGAGGTACAGAAATAGCGATTCTGTTTAAGAAATACCAAATGAAGTAAAAATTTAATTTTGATTTGGATCCAGAGTTGACCATTACAAAAAATGACGCAGGTCTCCATAAATCCCATGTGTCCGGAAAATCTCCTCAATACTATTTTTTGCAATACTATTTTTTGCGTATATAGATAATTCGGACATGCTCAAATGTCAAGTTCAGGACAAGAGAAGATTCGCGTGATCTAATTGAGGAGTTCAATGACTTTGTTATAAGGACAAGGAAGATGACAAAAAAGACCCGATTGTGGAAGTCGACTTTCTTTATGTGAACATTATCAAAAGAATTGATGCCTATAGGAAAAAACAGGTAAAACAAGTAAAAAAGCAGCTAAGTTCGGCCGGGCACAATTTTTTTACCCTTCACCCTTTGAAAGAAACTTGTAAAATTTAAAAAACAATTCCATCGAAAAATACCAAATGAAAACCGTTATACGAAGACGTGGCTATACGAAGACGTGGTCCTGCATAAGTAATTTATGTCATAGGCTGTAGTAACTGTTCCGAACTTTATTGAAAACAATTCCGGCGAATAACGTCGCAAAAATTATCAAACTACCGAATATCGGTAGGAACCGTTAGAGATGAGAGGAAAACTGCAACCAACTTAAGACTGCTGTCATTTCCAAGGAAGTGGACGGAAGAAAACAGCAACGTCAGCAGAAATGGTTCGAAAAGTAAAGAAGCGACTTGATCGAAACCCGCGTCGCAGTGGCCGAAAAATAGCTCGTGAGCTGAACATATCGCAATATTCCATTCGGCAAATATTGAAAAATGTGCTCGGAGTAAAGCCATTGAAATTGTGCAAGAACTTTCACCGCAATAGAAAGAAAATAGACTCAAAAGAGTTAAAGAGTTGCTTTGCTTGGCCGGAAGTGGTGAACAGCCGAATTTGGTTTTCTTCGATAAGAAATCATTCTTTGTCCAGCAGTTTGTAAACAAACAAAATGATCGTGTTTACTTGCCAAGAGGTCAGTTAAAAATATGTACTTTCGGTTGGCCACAAGAACTCAAGTGCCAGACATGGTGATGGTGTGGGCCGCAATAACAGCCGATGGTAGATCTCCGCTCGTATTAATCGACCGTGTCATCAGAATAAATGCCGAATTATATCGCGAAGATATTCTAGAGGGCATATTAAAGCCTTGGGCACCCAAACATTTTGGCCGAAGACCTCGGATATTTCCACAGGATTCAGCACCATCGCACTCAGCACGCGCAACCCAAGAATAGTTACAAAATGAGGTTCCTCGCTTCATTTCCAGCACATAATGGAAACCAAAATCTCCGGATACCAATCCGTTTGACTATCGTGTCTGGAGTATTTTGGAAAACAAGGTTGGCACTAAAAAATTCCAAAGTGTCGATCACCTCAAGCAAGAGCTTTACCGGGAATGGGCCAAAATACCGCAGAGCAACATTCGAGCAGCGCGTGACGGTTTCATTGGCGGTTTGAAGGCCATAATTCGTGTCAAAGGTGACCAATTCGAACAAATCTTTTTGCTTTCATTCAATAAAATTAAAAAAATGTAAAGATTATGGCGTTTGACTTCGTTACAGTCTTTTTATCTTACCCTGTATTATGTAAATTATTTTCTATGAAAAAGTTAAGTTTTTGTAGGGAATGTTCCAGTAGGAGTTGACCGATATTGCCCATATCCTAACTAGATCTTAGTTTGATAATAATATTACGATTATCCAGCTTGAAACGGATTTGGCCCAAAGAGACCTAGGATCTTAAACAGTTTGGCCGTATCAAATGATGTGTACCCTCTTTTGCCACATGGCTGGGGGTATAAAAATGTTGCACTCCAAATGGATGAATTATTCATCCTTTGAGTACATGAGCAATATGTCTGACTGTGAGGTCCCTTTTGATTACAAGCTAATCACGTCATGTGCACATAAAAGCAAAATGTAGACCATGCAAATATAGGCCAAACAAGGAATTTTAGTTATAAAATTTAAAAAACCTAGGTATTTAGAATTGTTGGAAACACCATCCGAAAGAAAAACTGACTGAAATCAGGCACACATTTTTGCAAGAATATTGAATTTGGCAAATAAACTCAAATTATAATTAATTTATAAAATACGCAGATGACTTTAGAAGATAATAATCCGTATCTTCAAAATATATTTACGTTTTGGTATAACTGCAGCGTAAAAATCTGGTCTGATTTACGGTAAAAAATCGTAAATAAAAGACGTCTCCACAATAAATTGGCATTACCACTGTCCTCCTTTAATTGTTTTTACTTTAATGGTTGGTATGACGATTTCTATCAAATATAACATTAAATACTAACTGTTCCTTTAATATAAAATGTTAAAATTTATTTTAAAATTTCAAAAGAATAAATAATGTATTTTAAGTTATTTTTTAATGTTGTTATTTTAGCATTCATGTTTAATGAAGTTAAAGCAGCCATGTTTGTTAATTACAAATTGGTAAGGTCGTGGTGCCCTCATTTTATGCAACGTTCACACAAATTTCCTGTTAATTAGATATGCTTGACTTCATAGCTTAGGCAAACGAGCCGCAACAACGAACGTCAAAATCCGAAGGGATGGAGATTTTCTTTATTGGGATTTTCCATTTGCCTCGATGAAAAATTAAGTTTAAATGAACTTGTGAAAAATTATAAGGCCAGACGTGTCAAATTTCTGAAGGAAATCTGTCAACTGTCCAAATGCCCATACAGAAGACAAACAGAGGAGTGAAAGACTAATGGATGACAAAATAATGAAGCTCAAATTATTACACATGTATGAATATGTAAAAGGACACTTTAAGGGTCTGTTTCTGTAGAAGGATTCAAAAGTGAATGCGAAGGAAATGTAGTCATTCCATGTGTGTGTTGTCTGAAACAGACCCTAAATCGTACATTTAAAAAAAAAACAAAAATTTATGAAATATTATTTTCCACAAATTTTAAACATGTAATACAGCTTCAGCATGTTATTGCTTACAGTAAATTGAGTCGTTTAAAGTTATTATATGTCCTATTTTGTCTACTGAAAGTTCCACCAAATAAAACCCCCTTTTTTTGGGAAAAATTGTATACCCACCAAATCATGTAAGACTTATATAAGTAATATGTATTTTTGAATAGCTTGTTTTTGGCACATAACGTAAGAGAACCATAATATTTTTTAATTACAGCATATATTACATATATATACATATATATCAAGACCTCCCCATATTTTGGTCGTTTTCCCCACACTTTTTTGGGGCTTTCAAGCAAACAAATATATTCTGTTGTAAAGACGCTAGCTACAGAACGAGTACAGAGCAGGCTTCTATCTGCAGGCAGATCAAGTTCAAAGATGTGCTAAATTGGTCTATAATGTTATATAGAGTCCACATAACGATACCCTCAAATATCTCATATTTTCATATTTTAAGCCACGAAATTATTTGAAATTTGGTACGTTATCTGCCAGAGATTAGCCCACGTCTCCCCATAGGTATTTACTTAATAATATATATTGATTAGGTGTTTTCTTGAATTTATCCAGAATTTTTGTCTGGAATTCGACATTTGAAGTTCTTTTTTTTCTTCTTTTTTTTTCTTTTTTTTCTTTTTTTCTTCTTTTTGAAGTTCTGAGTACTAATCCTGTTGGCAGAAACTTATGTTGATAGACCTACCCTAAATTATAGCCCACGTATAACGATACCCCCAAGATCCGGTATTTCGATGATTTAAGCTACATTTTTCAACCGCGTTTTTTTAAATTTGGTTAGCCTCCCGATATTTGGTACTTCCCGAGGTTTGGAAGATATTTCAATGGAACTGTCAATTTGGTGATTTACAGTCTCAAAGGAATTGGTTATATTTTGGAATTTTCAATATATTATTACTTCCCGATATTTAGATATAAAACGCGTAACTTTTCTATTGGGGATATAATTCCTAAATTTATGATTCTAAATTGTTGACTCTTTGTATTTCAGAAACAATAAATTGTTCGAATAAAGTATCTCGAAAAACAGGGCTCTTTCTTGGTATAAACCACATATAACTATACATTGAATTATTTTGTAGTCGCAATTTGTCATTTCAGATTTTTAAAGGACATTACGACGCATAGGCAACTTTTGCATTAAGCCGTTTCAATATTCAAATACGTAACTTGAAAAAACAAAATCGGTGAATAATGTAGCTAAAATTATCAATTTACCGAATATGGGGAGGTACCTTTTATTGGGGCTATACGAAGACGAGGACCTGAACATATTTCTGTCATAGGTTGTAGTATTCATTATGAACTTCAAATACCAAATTTGAAACAATTCCGGTGAATGATGTCGCTTAAATCAACAAATTATCGAAAATAGGGAGGGCTATATGAAGACGTGAACCTGCACAGACAATCCTCTGTCTTAGGCTATAATATCCATTACGAACTTCAAATAGCAAATTTGAAATAATTTAGTTGAATAATGTCGCTAAAATCGTAAAAATACCGAATATCAGGAAGTACCGTTATATGGGGGCTACTCCGAAAGGTGGACCTACATGATCCATTTTCAATACCAAAAGTCCTTCAGACATAATATTCATTTGAGTAAAATTTTATCAATCTTCTTCATTCGTTCGGAAGCTAGAGTGATTTCCACAGACGGATAGACGGGCGGACATCACTAAATCGACGTAGAATTTTATGCTGATCAAGAATATATATAGGGTAAGTGTACCAGTAGTCGGCACTTTGGATTTTCGCGTTTTTAATAGCTCACCATTCTGAGTGGAACTTTTCAATTATTACGAAGTTTATTTATTCAGATTCGATATTTTGTATAGTTTTTGCAATAATAAATACAGTTTTAATAACTTTTTATTAAATTTCATAAATTTGTAGTTTTATTAAAACAATGCTTTTTTGCCAGTAGTCGGCACCATTTGCCAATTGTCGGTATGGCATTTTTGTAAGCATAATTAATAATAATAATAATAAATTAATTCATTAAAATATAATATTTTTGTTTAGTTAAACTGATTCGACGTCTTTATTGTACTTTTCTTAAGAATATGGATTGTTGAGGACCTTCACAGACAAAAATTTAATTTTTATTAAAATAAATCATCTTTTCTTAGCGAAATTGTACACAAAGATAGCTGACAATATATTTGAAGTAAACAAAATACATTTACAGTACGTTTATATATATGAGGGTTAACCCACTGGATTTGGATTTAAATTGTCATATTCATTACTTTTACTTCAAATAGATCCCCTCAAAGTAGGTTAACCCTACAAAAAGTTATAACGTAAACATAACATTAGTTATAAAAGTTTCATTTATTTGGGCTTAAAAATAAAAATGTGCCGACTACTGGGACATGCCGAACTTAGGCTCACTTACCCTACTTTGTGGGGTTTAAAATGTATATTTCGAGGTGTTAGAAACGGAATGACAAACTTAATACACCCTCCATACTATGGTGGAGGCTATAAAAAGGGGTATTGCGTCATTTGAAAACATCTTGATATTTCAGACATCATCAAATGAAAATTTTATTTGCAAAATAAAGTGCGTCATATAATAAAACATTAGCAACGACAGAAAAAAAGTTATTTTTCCTTTGTTATATTTCAATTGAATTTATCTGTACTCGAATTATGTTTGGCATTATTGTATATTGTCCGCCATACACAGTTTTATTAAATTTTTCTGCAAAAATTCATAATTCTGTTAAAAACTCTACGAATTCATCATAGATCCATTAAATGTGTAATGTTATTATGCAAAGAAACACTTTACATCGCCATCTTCTTGTTCTTTGCCGCGTCGTCTTGTTCTTTTTTCACACACATTGTAAGATGACAAGTGATATGCTTGAATATATTAAATAACACCTGCCTCCAACCCTCCCAACCTGTCAAACATAATGCACTGATAATGGATTTATAAATGAACAACAACTTTTACAAGTTTGTTTTCAAGTGACTTTCATCCACGGAATACTTGTAGCCATGCCATCGGAGAAGAAGAACATCCATCTGCTCGATGGGTAGAAATTCTATGACATACTCGCCTTCATAAAAAATAACTCTCCTCACATATGATTTTAATGATGAGTTCTGGTGGCGATGACGTTGTACAAAAGGTATCCTGATGTACATTAATATGCCTTGCCAACATACACACACATACATATTTCCATCTTTCCAACCATCCAAACATTTGCCATCTATCCATCCACGCTCAACACACATGGGAATATGTATATTTATGTGACCAGGCAGTCTTCTATCGCAAAGTAATATTCCAGCAAAAGGTGGATACGACATTTACATTACCTTGAAAGGAAAACCATAAATTCACCAGAAAAGGATGTTCCAAGGAGGAAAGCAACTCGACTTCTTTGAGTACGCCACCCAAGGCACCACGGCTTTCGCATGCTGAACGGCTGACGTATTTCATGGCATACAATACGCCGCTGTCACGTTTCTGTACAATGCAGACCTGTCAGAGAGGAAGAGAAGAAGAAGCATGAAAACGTTAAGACGAATATATGCATGTAAGAGAATTTCATCAGTCATATTTAAATTGTAAAGTAAGAAACAACAAGTACAAGAAAAAAGACGATAGGTGGTCGCCACGTCGTCAATTTGACATACTATATTACAACTTGGAGTTAATTGGAAAATACAATTTTTCGAGTGAAAAGTATGACAGCTGTTGATAGCCATTTCCTTTTTTACGTATTTTCTTTATTTATACATTATGTGCATAGGAAATCTGTCATCGGGTATCTCATTGGACCTCTTATCAATACCACTGAGGAAAATTAAACAATTTTATACAAAAATCTTCTATTTATCGCTGGAAAAAGTTCTATAGGTCCTAGGGTACGTTTTCGTAAAGACGAAACTTAGACACACATAATTTGATTCGTTTGGCGTATTCAACGGTTTCAGTCAGTACGAAAAAGGTGGTCCTTGCAGCAAAAACCTGTTAGGAAGCTTGTGTTGGTTTTCCGACTGATATATAATCTCAGCATTTGCCCACAAACCATGAACATTTTCCATTTAAATTAGCTGTAATTTGGATTTTTTCCAACATTTTTTTCCAACATTTATTATACCACTAGCTGGCCCTGTCCGCGTTGCCGGCCCGTACTTTTAGTCTTTAAAGCATAATAAATCACAGGTCTGACTTATGTAGGCGGCACAATTTTCATTATAAGTAATGACTCCATTATAATTACTCCAATTTTGATTATAAGTAATGACTTGATTATGAGTAATGACTCCATGACTAAATATAAATTAATATTCATGGCAAAAATTATAATTACCGTCGGTTTTAGATATGTTGAATAGCCTGACCTTATTTTTCAGCTATACGCTTTAATTTGAGTGTTAAATACCTATATGATAAAGAACATCTATAATAGTCCCATGTGAAAATTCAGCTCAATTTTTGATATTGTAAAAAGCATTCAAATAAGCTATAATTTGAAATTTGTATTTCCATCGTTTAAAATCCCCTACTGTGTGGTATTCAGTTTTGTCCACCTCATACTTGAAGGCAGAATGTCGTCGGAATAGCCAAAAGAATTACTCTTTTGCTCCGATTACCGTAAGATGGGCATTAATTGTTTGTCATTTAAATTGTGCGGTGGAGATCCAATAAAGTTACTTTATAATTTCGTATTTTTTTCATGTTTCTGCCACAATTTCCGACTGAATGAGTCCCAGAATGACATTTCGGAGTTTATTTCATATAGACGTACATCCCAAATCTACGTTCCCAACCAATATTTTATTGGGGGTTATAAATTCAATAGAATACCAAATTTTCTTTTCTGACCACACATTGGTTGGGAAAGTGGACTTGAGGGTATACTAATGTGGGGACTATACTTAAATAAATTCCTATGAGGATAATTATCTGTAAGATGATTTTCTACCCCAGGGTTTTTTACCCAGGTAGCCTCAAGACTAAGATGCGCACTATTCCGAAAAATAAACATTTTATAAGAAGAGGTTTTCTTCCCCCTTAGAAACAAAGATGTCAAATAAGAGCCAAAAAATGAAAAAAGTGGCCAAGACCCCGAAAATACCTTAAATCATATGATGGTGATACCAAAACTTGATATTTTTTTGCAAAGATGGTTTCTTCTTAAATTATCAACATAAGCTAAAATTAGTACGAAAATACGAAAAAAATGGTTAAAATGTAGAATATACTTGAAATCGGGTTGTTCCGTTATCGGGGGTTATGATCCATATCATGACCTGGCAAAGCGATTAAAGGTATCTTGAATGTTTAGGTAGAATTTCTATTTTGCGTTCTTTATAGTCGGTATTTGACTGATTGCAGTCCCAATGTATTTTGCATTTTGTGTTCTCATTTGACAATTTATTGTCATATGAAAGAAGCAGGTCCACTTTTTGAAATTAACCCCACAACGCTTCTTCGGTCATTTTTGTTTGTTTAAATGTGTTCGCATCTTCCAGCTGAAGCACGATGTAGGTCCTGGAGTAGAAAGCATTTAACATCGTATTGCGCCCTCATTTCATTTTTAATATTATTCATTCAGAATTCAAACCAATAAAAAATGTACACTTCAATATAGAAAAAAGAAAAAGAATCTTCAACTGGTTCGCTGATTTTTTTGCGGCAAATTTTTAAGGGTGATTGCGAAGTTTGTCGGTAGAATGCACTATTATTTTGAAATTCGATTCCATTGAAAAATTGTCGATTTTCCCGATTTTAGAATTTTCATATAAAGCGACAACGAATTAAATTGTTATTTATAGATTTTATGTATTTATTGGGTATTACGAACAAATACATAAAATCTATAAATAACAGTTTTATAACCTACACATCATATTAGAATTAAAAAAAAAAACACTACAAATGTACATTCGAAAATAGAAGGTCAAAATGGAAAAAAATATGCAATATAAAACATTACTATTGTACATTTTAAAAGTCAAAATGAAAATGTTCAAATTTCACATTTTTACGCGATTTTTTTGGATTTTATTCTTTTCTGACAAGAGGCAATTCCGAATTTGTCTAAATCGTTAAAATCAGACCGGCGGTCTTTATCTTATAAGAGTAGTAACTAACACAACTTTCTTTTACATATAGAGAGATAGATTTAAAAGTAGGCGCGTTCCTCAGCCCCTAAATAAGTACTTAGGGTTGGATGGAAAGCAAACAGCATCTCGTGTAATAATTCTCAAACCGATATCTTCACTATTTTGGCAAATATAAATATTTTAGATAAATCGTAATAGTGGGCGTAAAAGGAGGCGTGATTAATATTTTTTTCTTTAAAAACCTAACTCGGGGAATGACAAACGTTTGTACTAAAAATTATGCAAATCGGTCCAGCCGTTTTCAACTGATTCCGTTACCAACAAACAACATTTGATTTTTATATATATAGATTATGCATGGTATTTAGTCAGAATGATTTCAGAATAGTCACAGATAATTATTTTTTACACCTATTTTTCATTTAAATTGTGCGTTGCATACCACATAAAGTCCATATTTCTCATTATATTATAATTCAATGACGATTAAACAAATTTTCGGTCCCGTGCTACTTTTTTTCATATTTTTTCATGTTTGTGCCACAATTTCCGACTGAATGAGTCCCAGTTTGACATTACTTAGCTTACTATGTGTTGGAGGCATTATAAGTTTGATTGGGCCAAAAATTATGTAACAACTCGAAATAGTGATCCCCGACATAGGAAACTATACAGGGAGAGTCAAACACCATAATTTTAATTTTATTGAATAAAAGCAAAAAATGTCGGAAATAGCATCAAATTTTAGAATAAGTTTAGAATTGTTCGAATTGGTCACCTTTGGCACGAATTATGGCCTTCAAACGACCAATGAAACCGCCATACGCTGTCCGACTGTTGCTCTGCGGTATTTTGGTCCATTCCCGGTGAAGCGCATGCTTGATGTGATCGGTGATCGACACTTTGGTATTTTTTAGTGCCAACCTTGCTTTCCAAAATACTCCAGATACAATAGTCCAACGGATTGGTATCCGGAGATTTTGGTGGCTATTGTGCGCTGAAAATGAAGTGAAGAACCTCATTTTGCAACCATTCTAGGCTGGCGCGTGCTGAGTTTTGTTGGGATGTCCAAGGTCTGCGGCCAAAATGTTTGCGTGCCCAAGGCTTTAATACATCCTCCAGAATAGTTTCGCGGCATATATTCGGCATTTATTCTAATGCAACGGTCGATTAATACGAGTGGAGAGCGACCATCAGCTGTTATGGTGGCCCACACCATCACCATGGTCGGCGCTTGAGATCTGGTGGCCAAACGAAGGTGCACATTTTCAGCTGACCTCTTTGGCAAGTAAACACGATAATTTTGTTTGTTTACAAATCAAATTCATCAGTTCACCACTTTCAGCCAAGCGAAGCAACTCTTTGGGTCTTTTGAGGCTATTTTCTTTTCGTTGTGGTGTAAGTTCTTGCACTTTTTGGAATTTCAATGGCTTTACCCCAAGCTCATTTTTCAATATCTGCCGAATGGAATGTTGCGATATGTTCAGCTCACGAGCCATTTTTCGGCCACTGCGACAGGTTTCGATAAATGTCGCTTATTACTTTTCAACCCATTTCTGGTGATGTTGCTGTTTTCTTCCGTCCCCTTCTTTGACGTCGGGCTACGCTACCAGTATCACGGCGACGAGCGATGATACGAGACACAAAAAATTTATTCACATTTAAATACTGGAGTGATCTAATGATAGTCACTTGTAGTTTTCCAGCCAAATATAAAAAAACACGCTCGAACTCCATCGCGAATAACTTTTTTTCTGGAAAATCCTAACCAAAATGCTTTTGTACGCTTGTAAACAATATAATGAGCTGTGACTAGAATAATTTTAACAGCTTTAGGACGAGTGGCTTAGAAATAACAGCAGTCTGGAATTGGTTGCATCTCACCCTGTAAAGCTGATTCTGGTGTTAAGATTTGTAAAGTTTGAACTATTGGCATGGGAGTTGTCAAAAGGAACGGTTCGATTTTGTCCATCTCCGAACTCGGGCTGAGTTCGGTACAAATAAAACAATATACCAAATTTGCACTAAGTCGGATACTCCCTTAGAGTTATAGACTTCCTTAAAACAGCAGTTGGATTTCCAACTTTAGTCTGCGTTAGTCTTGGTAAATTTTTCTAATTAAACCAACTACCTCATTTTATCTCTTCCTTTCTGAACTTCTGGGCTATCGAGCAACATCTTGTAATAAATTGACAAATTATGGTTACCGTATACACCTATTGTTGTTAGTGTTCCCTTAAAATCTTTGAGCCTGAGCAATGTCAGTACGATGTCGGCAACGAATACAAAATATAATCCCAAGTGGAAATTAGAAGGAAATGAAATGAAAAGAAATAAATAAAAGGAATAAAAAAGTTACTCAAGTTGTCTTGAAGTAGATGTCTTAAAAAGATAAATATTCATATT